GGCCTGCAGGGCTGAGGGGCTCATCCATGTGCCCTAAGATGTCCCGGCATCCACAGCCGTCAGCATGCAGAGGGGCTTGCGGCCATCCCAGGTGGGCTGGGGCACCCTCATCTCCCCATCGTGTAGACCGAGGGGTGCCCCAAGAGGAGGTGAGCGCTGCTGGGGCTGGGGTCCACCCCCAGGGAGAGGGGGAGAAGGGGACTGAAGCCACACGTGGCCCAGGGGGCTGACACTTGGGTGAGTGGAAGCCTGGCTCTGCCCTCCCCGTCAGCCCGTGTCTGTCTTTGCCCCAGTGGATGATTTTGAGAGCGTTGAGGAGAAGGTGCTTTATGGGGCGGAGAACAACAGCACCTTCCTGGAGTGTGTGCCCCGGTCCCCGCAGGCCAGCGTGCAGTGGTTTGTCCAGAGGCCGCCTGATGAGCAGCGGGACGAGGTGAGGCTCCCCCTGCACCTGCCTTGCTCCCCTTGCGAGGACACGGGAGGGACGTGGGGCCAGACTCGAACCCCCCCCAACCTTGTGGTGGCCAACAGGTGAAGACGGATGAGCGGATCCTGCAGACGGAGCAAGGGCTGCTCTTCCGCAAGCTGCACCGCCATGATGCCGGTATCTACTACTGCAAAACGCTGGAGCATGGCTTCACCCAGACGGTGGCCAAGACGGCCTTGGAGGTGATAGCCAGCGAGCAGCTGGCACACACCTTCCCCCGGGAGCGGGGGAACGAGCCCCCGCACCTGCCTTGCCCCGAGCCCCGGCTGGCCCCACAGGCTCCCAAAGCCTGGTTCAAGGACATCATGCACCTCATCAACTCCCAAAACCTGCGGCGGGTGGAGCTGTGCCCACCTCTGGTGCGGCAGCCGCCCCCACCACCGCAAGAGCAAGCTGGCTCAGGCCAAGCACGCCCTGGCTGGTGTGGATGTGGGCAAGAAGGGACGGATGGCCAAACCCCACAGTGAGAGGAATCGCGTGCCCCGGCAAGCGGCGGCCACTTAGAGAGGGCAGGGTAATGGACGTGGGGTGGCCGTGGGCGAGGACCAGCTCCCCGTGCTGCTGGCAGCCCCGGGGGCCCCCTGCCCTGGCAGGTGGCTTGCAGTGGCACCAGCCCGCTCCCCCCCCCCGCCGCAGTGGATGGGACACCAGGGCCAGCTGCTAGGCAGGTCCCTGTCACCCTTGGTGGCTGCAGGGCCACCTCCAAAATGGGCAGTGTGGTGGGACGCGTTGGCCCCCCCTTGCTCTTGCTGGGTGCCGCGGCAGGTGCAGGGCCACAGTCACTGGGGTGGGTTGGGGCTCGGCATGCACGGTGCCACCGCTGTGCCATCACCCCAGGGAGCTTGCTGGCTGGCTTTCTCCGCAAATAAAGGGGCCAAGCGTGGCACCGGGGGGAGCAGCTGACGGCTCCAGGCTCTTTCCACGCCAGCACGGGGCCTGGGAAAGATGATGCCTGCTCTCACAGGGGGGGAAAAACTGAGCATCTCCCCAAAAAGCCTCTGTGCCCAGGATGAGCCCTGTCATCCACTGCACCTGGGGAGCTGGAGCCATGCCATGCCTCCCAGGGCATATCCTGGGGAACAGGGCTCCTTCCAACCTTCCCTGTGACACCAGCACACGCTCAACAGTGCCAGCCTGTGTCTGGGTGCAGCTCCCCCCTTCCTCTCCGTCCCCCCCCAGCCACAAGCCGTTTTAGGGCTGGGCAAGGTTGGGGAGGAAAGCAAACGCCTGCGGGCAGGTTAGACCCGTTCCTGGGTAAACACAGGAGAGGCACTGATGCCACCGCTGTCACCGTGCCCAGGCAGGAGCGAGGACATGCAGAAGGTGGCCCCAGCACAGTTTGCAGGGGGGGCTGCACCTCACCCTGGGTTTGTTTCTGGTGGCTGGTGGCCCTGCAGGGCTGGGTGGGACAAGGCTGGTTTGGGGGGGTTTGATGCTGGCTGGTAGAGCTAAACCAGCCCCCAGGGCCTCCCCCAAATGCAGGGGTTGGGGGGTAGGTGCATGGAGAGCACCCACAGGCTGCCGGCAAGGTGCTCGCTTGCTTTCCTCGCCCGACATGAGCTCACTTGCCTGGTCAGCCTGGGGTGATAAGGATCTCCCCCTTCCTGAGGCAGGGCAGCCCCACACAATGGTGTGAACCGCGGTCCTGCCGGGATGGGCATTGTTCGGAGGCAGAGGAAAGGGAAAGAAAAATAATAATAATAATAATTAAACCCCCTAAATAGCTCACACAAAGCCAGGTCATGATATCATCGCTCCGCTCTGTGTGTGTGTGTGCGTGTGTGTGTGTGCGCATGCGTGCGTGCGCGCTGCAGCAGCGGAGCACCACGGCTCGCCACACTGCCTTTGATGGGAGCAAAGTCCCCCAGCAGCGCAGCCCTGTGCCACGGTACACCCGTGGAGATGAGCTGTGGGTCCCGACCCTCTTCTCCAGCTCGCCGTCCCACCTCTCCTGCAAACTCAGGGGGCCTGCATGGGGTGTCTCCTGGGATGGGAGAGCTGTGGTGGGGCTGGCAGGCTGGGACACGACCTGCTGGGAGGGGAGCGGAGCCAGTAACACTGATTTACAGGCCAGACTGGAGCCAAGCACGCGGATTTGGTTAATCGCAGGCCTGGGGGGCACAGGAGAATCATAAGCAACAAGTAGAGACAAGGAGGAACATGGGTATAAAACTAGAAATAAGAGACAGAAGTCTGATTCCTCAGGGCCTGGATTTAATGGCTCTGAAGCGCTTGCAATGAGCCACGCCGCTGAAATGCCTGCGCCCCATTGCCTCCGAGCGACCCCCTGTGCTCAGCAGAGCAGAGACTGGGCTGCCCATCCTGGGGGACGCAGTGAGAGGGGTCCCAGGGCCTCTGTGGCGTGTGGGACCTGGCCCCGAGCTGAGCTGCGGCAGAGGCTGGAAGTGACACCAGGGCCAGCGATGTTTCAAACTGAGCAGGAACAAAGACCAGAAGAAACCAGTCCCTAGAGAGGGCCTCCCCCTCTTGGTACATCTCCACAAACCTCTGTGGCGGCTGAGCCTGGCCCTCCTGAGTAGGTTCACATCAGTAAGGCTGGAGTAGAAGGGCTTTCGTCAGGGGCTCTGCACGGCTCACCTTCCAGCCTTGTCTCTCATGATAACCAGCCAAAAGAGGGAACCTGGGTCCCTAGAAATTTCCAGGGGCTGAATGAACGTGAACACGTCCTAACCCGCCCCGGGGCGGGTGGAAGGAGGCAACTTCGGGGGGCAGGTACAGCGCTGTTGCCCCCCATCTCCTCCGCACGAGGGGAACAAGCCCCACCTGGGCCTCGGTGCTCCCGGCCCAGCCCTGTCCCTGTGGCAGCAGCCGGCGAGGGGGTGCAGGGGGCCGGGGCGTGCGTGGGAACGGCCGCAGAACAAAGCCGCGGGGGGGACGGGCGCAGGCAGGGATCCAGCTCCTATTTTTAGCCCACTTCCTAAGGAAGAGCAGCGCAGGGGCGCCCGCTCGCCCTGGGAGCCGTGCAGCCTCTGAGGCGGCGTAAGTGGCGCTGCTAGCAGGGTCAGGGCCGCTACGGCTGGCCCCAGCCTCGCTGCGAGCCCTCAGACCTCAACACGGGGCGGCCCAGGCCCTCACGGCAGGCGCAGGCGTAGGCCCAGGCCCAGGCCCCGGCCCCTCACCGCAGGCCGCCCGGGGTGCTCTGGGCTGTCGAGTCCCAGGCCCGGTTTAGAGCACCCGCTGCGCTCCGCTTACCGACGGACTGAGCGCCGGGGCGGAGCGGGGAGAAGCCCCGGCCCCCAGGGCCCTCCCAGGCCTCCCCCGCCACCGCGGGACCTTTGTGGCACCGCCACCAACAACCCCCTCGGGACTGATGTGGCGCGGCGCGCGCTGACGTCAGGCGGCGTCGCGCAGCGATGACGCTCAGGGGCGGGCGGCGACGACGACGACGACG